TATATGTGGGAGGGAATTAAAACAACATTTTGAAATTGCTGTTCCCTGGGACATTTTGATCATTGCTCTTCTGTTTCACAACAGAAAATTGTTGGGATTTCAGAACTTCCCACACTAGAAATTCCTGTTTTCAAGAAGCTGTTTTTAGTAGTGGTGGGTCACCTATAAACTATTAAGAGAGAAGGTGGGGGTGTGATTTCATGGGATTATTCAGTGGAGGGATATTACCAGGAATGGATTTTGGTTGACTGGTCTTCGTTGTTTTTTTTTTTTTTCCCTGTCTATCTATAAATACCCTCAGAAATAGGAATTCCATCACTTTTCTTAGGAGAGAGAATTTTGTCCTTGGCTTAAAGAGCAGGAGAATCTTCCTTGAGCAGATTTTCCAAAATGTTGAAATAGTGACAGATTTCTTTAAACCCAAACATCTTAAAGTGGGATTTGGGAAGGAAGGTTGGTTGTGTATTGTCTGGATTGCAGACCCTGCTTGCCTTATGTCCTATTTATAGCTTATCTTTTTGAAATTGTGGTTCCTTCAGAAACACAGTGGCTAGCCAGTGCACGTGCTTCTGCCAGCCTGCGTTTTAGGGATTTGCCCTAAATCCATAGTAAAGGAAAGGAATTGAGTGAAAGCAGAGGGCTTGGAGCACAAGCTTTCTCCCTCTCTTGAGTATTTTATTATTATAATTTTTTTAATATTTGGGTCTCCTTAAAATAAACTGCCCCTGTTCTTGGGGTTAAGGCAGTGGTGCAAAATGACAGAGAAGATGCTGAATTAGGAAGTTCATGTGAAGAGAATTGATGTCGTATGGAACCTGTGAGGTAACCAGAGTACCTTTCCTTGGTATCCTGGACTATAATCAATCCTGGTTTGAACTCCAGCTTCCTGTGAAGGTTATGTACCTTTTATGAGGCTCCTTGCTCCAGAAAGTACACCCTGCAGACAGCTTTCTTCATTTGCTTTTGTTGGAAACACAGCTGCTTTTTAAGGGTAGAAGGAAGTGTGTGGATTACTTGGGTGATTGAAGTGGAAATGCGAGTGGTTCTGATTTACATGATTGTTGAACACGAGCAGTGCGGTTTTGAGTACGTCTAAAATGGATTGTTGCGATGCTTGAAAAGATTGCTGGAGAACTGAAGGGTCTTGGAAGATGTAAAAGATGTAAAAATCATCATGATTCTCTTTTACTGATGCTTCTGTCTGTTTTTATCCATTACCAGATAAGTGGGCATGGAGTCGACTCAACCCATCCGGAGTGAAACCCACTCCCAGGTCTGGCTTCTCTGTGGCACTTGGTCCCAATAACCGTTCACTTCTGTTTGGAGGTGTGCACGATGAAGAAGAGGAAGAGAGCATTGAAGGGGACTTCTTCAATGATATTTATTTCTACGATATTGGGAAAAACCGTTGGTTTCCTGGACAGCTAAAGGTTTTGTTTAAGAACTTCGCTATTGTCTTCAGTTCATTCTCCTTGATCTCCTTTGTCTCAACCTTTTCTGGCCTCATTTTGACAGTGTGGGCAAAGCCTCTATTTCAAGGCTGAACCACCAGGTCTGTTTGCTGCTTTCATCTGTGTCCCATTGGCTGTGGAGATGGGAAAAGTTGCAAGGATGAAGTTGGGGATGTGCAGCTTAGCAGGCTTTTGTTTCCATACTGAATTCTCTGATGTTATGCTGCCCTTCTCCTTCCTCTCCACATAGCCCCTTGTATTTTCCATGCCCTGCTTTTGCTGTGTGATGCAGACTGTCACCTGGGGAGAGAGGAAACCTCTGAGCCCCAATGGCTGCATATGCACTAAGAAAGAATGGGTCAGGATGCAGTCCTCTTCCTTTGAGAGTCAGTCTGCATGTGCCCTCTTGTGTAATGCAAAATGAAGCAAAGCAGCATGAAAACAGTTCTGGTTTTTTACTAGAGGCTGGCTCCAGTCTAAGTCTGATGTGAGCTAGTTCAGTAAAAGCTATTGTGAAAAGGTCTTGTAGCATTGGGATAAAATAGCCTCCCTCTTTTCTCCATTGTCGATGGCCTGCCAGAAGGGATGAAGTATTGACCCTTGGCTCATGAGAAATTCAGAAATGCGGCCCTCAGATCTTTGGCATTGTTTGAACCACTCTCAAGGAGGAAGCAAGGTGCAAATGACCTTCTTTCTTTTCATCCCTACTGTTTCTTGCTGCGTCCTCAAAAAAGAGATGTCAATCACATAATAACAGGCAAACATCCACTCATGTTTACTTCTGCCTTCCTAGCTGTCTGTTTCCTATCCTTTTCACACAATGCTTTGAAGACCTGGAGTGCTTCCTGATAATGCACTGTAATTTAGCACCCAGCAATTGTTTTGATTTCACAAAATGATGGGTTATTTACTCTTGCTCCTGTCACAGACCAGTGGACTGTGTGTGTGTGTACATCTGCAAGATACAGAGCAAGAGAGCTGTCTTCCCTTTCTCCAGCAGTTCTGCCATTAATAGATGTGGCAACTCCATGCTGTAGGTTCTCCAGAGGTTTCACTGCTGCCTGTTTTATGGCTGGTAGAAGTTCATGCTTAGTAGGAGGTTGTAGCTATCATCTGAGACTTAAAATTCTAGTGAAAAATAATTGAATTCTCCCCGTTCTCTCACAGCAGCATCTGTAGTATTATATTAACTGCTGTATATGCTATTAGCTACACCCAGCTCACACGCAGTCTGCCTCTGCTCCTTGTTCTTATTAACAGGTATCAAAGTCAGAGAAGAGGAAGCGAAGACGTGGCAGACGAGCTGAGACAGATGGTGGAGATGATGAGGTAGAGAAGCAAGCCCCACAAGGCCCAGTGGAGATAGTCAAAGAGGTGGTGGCAGAAGATGGAACTGTCATGACAATCAAGCAGGTGATCTCTGGGCCTGCAGATGAGAAGGAGAGGTCTGAATCGGAGGAGGAAGATGGAGCCTTGAGCCCGCAAGTGGAACCATGCCCACGTTCAAATGCCATGCTGGCAGTGAAGCATGGGGTTCTGTATGTGTATGGAGGAATGTTTGAGGTGGGCGATCGCCAGTTCACCCTCAGTGACCTCTACAGCATTGATCTGCACAAGATGGAAGAGTGGAAAGTGCTAGTGGAGATAGATCCAAGTAAGCTCTGGTGGTAGGGGGTCTGTGTGACTTTATTGTAGCAAAGCCTGGGATGTTGTTCCCAGCAATGCTTTGTTTATTCCTGAACAGGAAATAGCTTGAAAGCATGTGATATGCTGTGTCTTGTAGTCTCTGTCACCACAAAAGCCTGTCTTGTCCAGAGCTTTGTAATGGCTGTAGAGTATGAACTCTGGTCTGTCTGCTTCAAAAATCAAGGCATGTAAACCAAGCATCCTTGTTCGCTGATGGCTGGTTCTGACTTTAACTCTGCTGTGTAATCTCACAGTCTGGGTGTTTGTAATGGATGTAGGGCAGAAAGGAAGGAGTTTTACTCATAGTTTTGGAGCTGGGAGGAGATTTACCAGCTTGTCTTCCACAGCTGTTCTGTGCTGTTCACTTCTTCCTGTCTGTGTTAGATCTCTCCCTACTGTGCCCAACTTATTTCTTCTTTCTCACTAAAGAAACACAAGAATGGCTGGAGGAGTCAGATTCAGATGAAGAGGAGGAGGATATGGAAGGTGCAGAAGGAGGGGAAGAAGAGAGCTCTGAAGAGGATAGTGAGGACGAAGGAGGTAACAAGAAGAATGTTTTCTTCATACTAACATAAGATACAGTACTCATTGGTGTCACTGACCTCACCGGCATTCAGGTCAGTTTTTCAGCAAAAGCAAGGTTTTCATAGTGCATGCTTCTTAAGGAGTAAAAGAAAAATTTCTTTGACTCCTGACAGGTTTTTAGGCTATTCCATTTAAACACAAGCTGAAGCCTAGCCTTGGCTGAGTTGACACATGGGAGAGCAGATTGCCTTCATTAGCTGTATGTGACCTCTCTTTCTTTCTTCCTCCCGTTGTGTACTAGGAGAGGAGCAACACCCATCTGTTCAGCCTGATGAGAAGCATGCAGACTATCTGTCCAGGACAGAGCAGTATTGGATCAAAGTAGCTCGCAGCAACATGGGCCCGGATGCCAAGGAGAAGAAGGTGGTGAAAGTGGCTCATGCCATGGCAAAGACATTCTATGAAGATTCAATCTAGATATGATGTTGGGGCTGTTCTGTGAGTGCAGAAACGTGCTGGGAGCAGTGGTTAGCCCTGCTGAAATCAGCCTAATGTGCCAGGCGGTCAGCGTGTGCCCAGAAGGCTTCCTGGCACTCCAACTCTTGCATACTCCATATGAATGCCTCTGGGCTGAGTAATCTCAATATGCCTACTTGATTAATGCTCGGAATATACTGTTATTCCTTCGGTGGTTGTGGGAGGGACTTGGAGAACAGGATTACTGCCCAAGCACTGGTTCTTCTGAGAATGGAACATACAACACCATCATCATTTTGTTCAGAAGTTATTTTGAAGGCAAACTGCATATCACAATGGTTCTGTAGTCCCATAATCCTTATCCTGACTGGGGCCAGAACTTGTCTCCAAGGATTTCTACAATAAACTTGGTTGGTTACATCATCTTGGTTCTCTTAATTAATCCCATCCTTGCTTTACTTTTCCTTAGCCTCCTGCTTGTGGAAAAATGATTGCTGTCTCTTCTTTGAAATATGCAGGTAGTGGTCATAAGGTGCACCAGCAGCCCTGAGGTATGGCTGCATTATTTGGAGAAACTTGGTGATTCTTTGTACGAGAACCACTGTAATGCCTGATGTGCAACAAGTCTTTTCCTTTTCAGTATTGGCCATAGCAGGTTTGCTTTTTGTATGTGGAATCCCCCACTTCATTTTCTCACATTTTGGTCAAGAGAGCAGTTGTGCTCCAAAGGAACTCTTTATGACCAGTGAGAAGTCCTACCTTGAGTCTTGACAACCTGTTGAAGTCCACAACCAGCAGGCTCACACTCTCAAAAGGATGGGGTTTTTTATCCCTTTTTTTTTCTTGATTCAGCCCTTCTCAAAGCATTTCTTTCTTTGAAGCAAAGCAGTGCTGTAGTCCATAGGGACAACAGATAACAGATGGGATACAAGCGTGTCTGTTGCAGCAAACAATTGATGACTTGAGTTGACACCAGAAGGCACTGGCTGTTCTTGTGCAGAAAGATGCAGGGTGCTGTGAGGTATTGTTTTGGTGGGGGCATTGCCAGGGAGCCAGCTTCCAGGTGAGCAGTGCTAGGCTCTACAAGACTAGGATGTAACAAAGATTAGGTAGAGCTGGCTGCCTGCATGCTTTCTTTGTCAAGATAAAAACCCATTTGACAGGGAGGAGCCCTACGTGCAAAATAACAGGAGAGTGCTGCTTTCCCAGTGCTCTTGTTGCTGTGCTTTGAGGTTGGGATGAGCCTGCATAGGGTGAGGTTGGTTGTATGATCTGGTGCAGGTGGTGCTGTTGGCCATTCTTAGGCTGTGTGATGAGGGGATGCTGCCATGAGCTCAAAACTGAGGCCTGGCTGTCAGCTCTGATGAAACGAGGCTGTCGTGCTGAATGGGGACAGCCTGCCTGGGGACTGAAACCCACACAGTGTGCTCTCTGGAGCATTTGCAGTCATTGGACTTGAGACAGAAATTAATTCTAGTGCATCTACAGCTGCTGCTCAGCAGAACAAACGAGACAAGCCCAGCCAGCAACAGCCTCAAGGTCTGTCTGGACCCATCTCGTGCTGGGCAAGGCTCGGGAGCTCTCACTTGTTGATTGAACAAATAAAGCCTTGAAAAAGGTACTTTTTTTTTTTCTGTTGGAAACCAAAGCAGGGATGCCTGATTATTACCATTATACTAAGTGCTTGCAGAGGAGGCTAGAATGTGTATTGGTGTCTCAGTCTTCTGAACGTTGGCTGAAAGTCCACAAAAGCCTGCTGTTGGATCAGATAGCTGGTAGTTTTCCACGCAGTACATCCAGAAGGACGTTAAAGAAGGAGGTGAGTGTTTCACAGGCACATATCAGTGGAGTGACTTGCCTAAAATGGTACCCAGGGGAAGGGCTGGGGCTGGAGCTTGGTGGAAAACTCAGAGCAGGGAAACTCCCACAATGTCTGTCATAAGAAGGGTTGTTCTTGTCTGACGTGCACAAAGAACAGCTTGTGCTTTTTCAATGTATGAACAGAACACTCAGATAAAATCCAATTATTCCTTTGGCATCTATCAGATCATTACGTTTGCCCATCTTATTGTAAAGGAGTGAACGTGTCAACATTTACATAGCAGAAAGAGACCTCAGTTTATATCTGGAAACAGTCAAGCTGTTGTGTTGGGATTTTCCTTGTGAGTTTGTTTTGTTTGTTTTTCAGCTAAAAGGCAAATCTGAAAGCTAAGGACATCACCTGCTGTTTTTTCAGGAAACTATTCAGGAATTCCTTTTCCTTTGGGCCACGCACACATTGTAACCCCACTGTAAGTAACACAGCGAAATGGGATTTTCTGTTATGTTTACAAGCGGAGCTAGGAGGAAAGAAAGGGGATGGGGGACTGCCAGCTGGAATGCAATCCACTTCAAAGGTTGCACAAAAAAGGCTGCAGGAGAAGGTAAGTGGTTTCGTGTCTGAGTGCAGCTTAGCTTGCAACACGTGGGATTACTTCTCCCATCAGTGTGTTTGTTTTAGCATAATGGGGGCGTGGAAGCAAATGAGCTGTGGTTTATCAGAGAGCAGCCAGGGTAACTGGGCTGACCCAGAGCTCAGTGCTGTTTGTAGGTAGGACCGTTCTTCACATCCCTGTTTTCATGGGGCTGTGCTAACAGCAAAAACAAAGTTTGGTTGTACTGAGTTCCATGGCTCTGTGTTCCTCATCTTCCTAAAAGCTGCTGCTCATAGGTGTGCTGTCCCTGTAGCTACCAGGGCAGCAGAGCCAGCTGGGGGCCTCAAGGAACTGACTTCTGCTGCAGGATGACTAAAACACCATCACAGCCTAAAAACCTTCAGTTATTCATGTGCACCTGATGGTGTGGACGTAAAACAGCAGATATGGACAACGTATGTAGATTTATGAGCCCTGATGATAGATGTTTTCGTGTGCCTTGGGTAGGTATGCATGAATCCAGGGCTCGTAAGACAGAGAAATGCTCTGAATTACCTCTCTCTCCAGGCAACTTCTCAAGAATATTTCTGGCCTTGGGCAAATGTGGAAAGCTCAGAACTAAGACAAATTGCTCAGCTCCTTATGATTAATAAAGGAATCGTTATTTTTAAGCACGTGGTGTGGGAGCCAATTAATATCAGTCTGTGGCTGTCTTCTTGTGCTGAACCTCAGCTTGACCAAGGATTTGTACCCAGGAACAAAGAGATGGAAAATCAGAGTTTGCTGTGCTGGGTTGGTAAATAAGGCAAAAGCAGGAACAAGTGGGCCTGCAGCCTGGGGAAGCTACTTGTGAAATGAGTGCTACCTCTGTCTGATGGGTAATAGGCATAAAACAGTGCAAAAATGCCTCATCTAAATATCAGGCTGTTTGCAGGGAAGTGTTTGACCCACTTCTATGGGATCCTTGTGTCATACGCTCAACAAGCATTCATAAAAAAAACTTCTCCAGAGTCCTTAAGAAGAGCTGCATCCAGCATTACAAAACACAGCGCAGCACGGATGAGTGCCTAACGCTGCAATCCCAATATATTGCTGTTGGGTTCATCTCAGGTAGGCAGCATCCAACCACAACATATCGTTGTTGGGTTCATTTCAGGTAGGTGGTGACCACTGAAGGGTGAAAAGGCTGACTGGGGAGCAAAGAGGAAACACCAGAAAGTGACGAGGTGCCAAGAGGATGGAGAGTTACTGTGGAACACGCCATGGAAGAAGCTCTGTTGGTGTCACCTGCCCTCTGGCCTGAAAGGGAGCTGTGGAGGAAGGAAAGCTGCGACAGGGAATGAGAAAGACCATGTAAGGAAAAGAACTGAATTTAACTGGCACATGCTCTAATCCTTAGTTTATTTCTGGTTAAAAATATAGCAATCCAGTGCAGTGTTAATAAGAAATCTGCTGAAAAGGTAGCAGAGAAACAGCTAAAACAGAAGCGAAGCAAAGCGGAGTCCGCTGCTCCCCACAGCATTGCATGTGGCACGCAGAGCAGGGCCCCCGCGGGTCACATCCTGCCTCGGGGGCACAGGGTGATGTCCTTGGCCATGGCCAACCCAAACCGTGTCAGTGGGGGCTGGGAGGAGACCTGGTGGCAGGGCAGGACGGCGCGGGGAACCGGGCATGGGGTCATCAGCCTTTTACCAAGCCAGGACCACGCTCCTGTGATTGGGACCATAACAGCTCAGAACAGGGATACGGCATCTTTAATGAGTATGCATATTATTGGTGGGGAGAGGGGAGGGGAGAAAATCAAGGCAGGCATATTACAAAGATGGTATAAACAAACAAATCAAGTGACATAGAAAAGAAAGAAAAGAATACATCCTTAGAGGCTGCCATTGCCAATGGTTTTTTCTTTTTTTTTCTCTTTTTTTTTTTTTTTTTTTACAGGGACATGTTGGAAGCTGGAATATACATCCTGCATTACAAAGTGCAAAATACTACATGCTCAGAGCCCAAGCATGATGTCTGAAACAGTCCACAGCAAGATGTAAGGGACAAACCCACCACCCTCTCCTTCCTTTCTGGCACATGCTCCAGTGCTCCTCCCCAGATGCCATGTAAAAAAAAAAAAAAAAAAAAAAAAAAACAAACCCAAAAACCAAACAAAAAAAATAAAACCAAAAAAACCAACTGTTTTGATCTTATTTTGCTTAATTTTACCATTATTACTTTTTTTTTTTTTATACTAGGTGGATCAGAATCGAGCCCTCTCTTGCTGCCGATCTGCTCCCTGGCATCTCTGTGCATGTACTTGGTTGGGATGGGATGCTCAGCTCCACTCGTGTCGCTGGAGATGCCTGCATGTGTTTGGGGGCCCTGGGCACGACGCCGACCCAGAAGGAAGAGCTGTGAGCAGCACTCAGCCCTGGGAGGTGCGCCAGCCCTGCTGCCTTGGGAGGGGGGTGAGGGCAGGAGTGTTTTTCCCCCGTGCCCCAAGGAATTCTGCAAGACACTGATTGTTTTGACAACAAAGAACAGAATGGGACTGGGTGCTGCTTCCCATCCTTCACATCCCGGCAGGGCTTGTGCCTTCCTGTGCTCCTCTCCTCCGTTCACAACCAGCCACCTGCTTTGGTTTTTCTCTCTCATTTTCTCTATTGTGAAAGCTGTTGGATCCCCCCAGGAAGCTCAGCCCGGAGCATCCCAGGATCCACACACCCTCACACCCATCCCCTCCTCTATCTCCATTTGGGGTTGGTCACCGTTGTTACAAAATACGTTTTTGGGGGTGAGGGGAAGGGAAATAAGGTTTTCTCTTTTTTTTTTGTTGGGATTCCTTCTCATCCTTTCCAGTGTTGGGGGGGCAGAGTGTTGATAGCATTTTGCCATGCCACACAGCATAGTGTTATACAAGCAAAGAATTTTGGCTAAAATCCAAAAAACATTACCCAGGAAAAAAGGCAAACTGTGAGTGAGACTCGATCGTTTGTTGTTCTTCTGTGAAAAGACTTGGAAATTGTCGTAGGACAGTTCAAGTTATGATTTTCCCTTTTTGTTGTTGGTTTTTTTTTTTTTACCCCCCATTCATACATGTAACTGTTATTTTTGCAAACAAGACAGTCTTGAATTAGATGAAAAAGTTAATAAACAAAATGGCGACTCCAATATTTAGTAAGATCACCATGACTACCAAGATGGGAGCTGAGCCCTGCAAGAGAAAGAGAAGGAAACGTGTTAGAAGGAGCCCAAAGCACTGCAGATCCTCACCCCTCCTGCTGGGACATCTGCTGTCTTATGGTGGTGACAATTCCATGTGGGTCCCAGTGAATGCACCCATCTACTGCAGTGTTATTTGCTTATGGACTCTGCCTGGCTCACGTGTGTAGGGAATCTGGCTTTAGAAAAGAAGACTTGATAGCTGAAGTGAGAAACAGTATAAAAAAAGACTGAGTTGGGTCTTAGTGGTTGGGGATGGTTTGGAGGAGTCTCCAAGGGATGTTTTCCAATGATTGCAGTTGCTGTACAGACATCCTGTTGATAGCAAAGGCCGACACGCTGCTCTGCATCAAGGCAATTTTTGGACAGCTCTAATGATCTTCTCTGGGCTCCACAGCAAATTCTATTGGGAGGTTATTTGGGAAACATCCCAGCGTGGGAGAACCTGCCTGGGGTGGCACTTTCTGCCTGGGCTGAGCATTGCATGAGCTGCTTCTCTGAGTTCCCTTTGCAGCTGCCAAGGATGTTCACAGAAACACAGAATGGCCAGTGTTGGAAGGGACCTCAAGGATCATGAATCTCCAACCCCCCTGCCACATGCAGGGCCACCAACCTCCTCATTTAATGCTAGACCAGGCTGCCCAGGGCCCCATCCAACCTGGCCCTGAACACCTCCAGGGATGGACGGGGCATCCACAACCTCTCTGGGCAGCTGTTCCAGCACCTCACCACTCTCTCTGTAAAGAATTTCCCCCTGACATCCTACCTAAATCTCCTCTCCCTCAACTTAAAATCATTTCCCCTCATCCTGCAGTTATCTACCCTTTCAAAGAGTT